AAATGTTGGACGTATTCATATTCTGCCTTTTGATTATAGAGCTTCAAATCTGTTTACACTGCCCATAGAATGAACTGGAAATTGAATGGCTGAAGTAGTCTAATCATGATAGATTTGAGTATGTGGGATCTATATATAAAGGAGGATCACAAGCCCTTTCTCATGTTGACACAAGTACATACAATGCATGTATAAATGCCCCACTACTGTAAAGCTGATCAATTGCTGAAACTATTGTTCCAATCTGAATATGTTATCTTATAGTTTATTCCAATCTGAAATTTTATCCAATTGATTTTCAGCTGGCTTGATGGAGCAAATGAAATTGGACCGTTATTTGCATCCCCACTTCCGGTATACATGAGGGAGGTTAGGACCGTGGTTTATTCCCAATTCTTGGAATCCTATAAGAGTGTCACAATTAAGGCAATGGCAAAAGCATTTGAAGTAACAGTGGAGTTCATTGATTTGTAAGTGATCTCATTTTCCTAGATACACTCACTCATGCTTTTGATCTTTTCTGTAAGATTGTTATTGATTTTTATTGTGAACCATTGGTGTTTAATTGAGTTCCTCGTTTGCACCAAGGAACTGTCACGTTTTATTGCAGCAAGGAAGCTTCACTGCAAGATTGATAAAGTTGCCGGTGTTTTGGAAACTAACCGTCCAGATGCAAAGAATGCTCTTTATCAAGCAACTATCAAGCAAGGGGACTTCCTACTAAACCGAATTCAGAAGCTTTCTCGTGTGATTGATCTTTGAAAGCATTTCTTGCGTTTTGGAAAATGATGCCCCAAAGTGGGTCTAGGGACTTCATGCTTGTTGCTTTATCATGCTACACTGTATTCTTAGTGATCTTTGAATTTACTGAAAATTTTAAAGGAATAGGAATATCTTCTCCTGTTTAGGTTTCTTTCATTTTTTTTTTTTTTTTAAGCGGGAGATTGGAAAACAGGCTCAAACAGGATAATTTTTTTAATTGATCTAAGGATAAATTCATATTTGTTGTTTGGGCAGGACAAAGAAGATGGTTCATTGGATAAGGAAGCACAAGTAGAGACAGTGTCTGATGATTTTTTTTTAAAATATTTTTATTAATTTTGTTACAGGTTTTACTTTTTGCGACGGCATTACACTGTCGCAAAAAATAAAAATTTTATTATTTAAAATAGAAATTTTATTATTTTTTAATACTTTTTGCGACGGCATTACACTGTCGCAAAAAATAAAAAAATTCATATTTTTAATACTTTTTGCGACAGCACCACACCGTCGAAAAAAATAGTGTTTTTGCCGTTGCAAAAAAAAGACTATTAGCGATGATATTTTTTGCCGTCTCAAATAACATTTTTAGCGATGGCAAAATAGTGTCGTCGCAAAAAAGTCATGAAATTTCAAACGTTATTAGCGACTACACAGTGCCGTCGCAAAACATTAGCGACGGCATTGTGCCGTCGCAAAAACTCTTTTGCGACCCCTGCATTTGCGACCCCCTATTGCCGTCACAAAAAGTCATTTTGCCGTCGCAAAAAGTATTAGCGACAGCATTAAGAGTATACCGTCGCAAAAAGTCAATTTTTTTGTAGTGATTTGAAGTGTCGAACTTTGGCGGGTATGGTTGATGTCTCCACCTAAGTCGGTAGGGGGAGAATTGTTGGGTATACCTCCTTAGTGGAGTTTGGAACCCAATTGGTTTGTTAAAAGAATTTTAATTTGGTTTGGTTTGAGTATAATATATTTTATATATATTATATCTAATTTGTGGAGACCCAATTCAGTTTGATAATAACTAGGGTTTTGATAAAATAATCCTAAGATTTAATATATATATATATATATATTGTTATGTTCGGCCCGAAATATAGCAGAGGCTACAGATTGATATTGATATTGTTTCTTCTGAAGCAGAGTGTAGCAGTTTTGTCATCATATAAATTCAATTCGGTGAGTGTGTTGGAAGAATTCATTGGTTTCAAGGGTTCATATAAATTCAATTCGGTGAGTGTGTTGGAAGAATTCATTGGTTTCAAGGGTTGGTGCTTATTCGACTGCTTTGGTGGAGTTGATTTGGGTCTATTATTTTGGGTCTTCTACAACTCTAGTTTCGAATATTTTTGTTCATCTATTTGGTGAGGTCTTTCCTCTTATTTATTTGTGATTATTTGAAATTCAACTAAGGGTGGCTTTGTGAGACCATTCGTGTCTCGTTTGTAATGGTTTGGAAAGTTTTTGATTAATAGTGAAATCGGATTTCGATTCCGTTGACGTATTGTGGAACCACGTAAAATTATTGTATTGCTTTTAATTTAATTTTTCTGCATTAGTTTTTATTTCTATTGATTGATTTACTTGTGGGGAATCATATATTTTTCCCTAACACTTGCTATAATCAACTCAAATGGAGCCTCGGGCAGGTTGAATATGGGAAGAGTCTCCTCCTATGGCACATTGCTACCGATCTCTACTATTACAACAATGACCGTCTAGATGATGATGAACTTCAATTTTGTAAGACCATTCGGACTACATGTTATATCTTCTTCTGATGAAGCCAACGATGATGGCGCCAGTGGTTGGTAATTGGCAACAAGTATTCTGGGACACCACTGCAGAGGCTAAGAGATTGTTTCACAAGAGATCAATAAGGGACAACAGGGAAGCCTGCAAAGCGATCCTTTCTGTGGATACTGAATTTGAACCTGTTGCACTAAAAGGGGATGCAAGCGAATCTGTGTTGTTCGATGCGTGTAGGCATGCAAAGCAACTAATGGAGAAAGAAGAGCCATTGAGGTTGATGAGTAAAGTGTGGGTGGAACTGTTGGGCTATGCTGCAGTCAATTGCGACGCAATAGTCCATGTACAGCAGCCAAGCCAGGGTGGAGAACTTTTTACATTTGTTTGGTTATTGATGAATCACTTGGGTTTGGGTAAGCAATTCTGCAAAAAGCCTACACGTACTCGATACAAATTGGTTGTGAAAAAGTAGTAGAAAATGAGAGTCTTTGGTGTGCTTTGTGTTTTTCTCTCCAAAACTGCTTGTGTTGTGTCTCATGTTCATGCCTCCAATAGTTCTCTCATGCTTTGTGTTTTTTTCTCCAAAACTGCTTGTGTTGTGTCTCATGTTCATGCCTCCAATAGTTCTATTGTTGCTTGTTATGTTGCAGTTGCATTTTGCTTGTTTTTGGTTTTTCAAAAACACCTTTTCGAAAATTCTATTTTCTTATTTTTCATTTTTTTTTTTATTAATTTTTTTAATATTTTAAACAATTTTCTTTTTAATTTTTAGACAAACCTAACATAAATACATAAAAAGTATAATTTTTGTGAAAAAAATCTTTTAAAAATTCAATAAATACCAAACATACAACAACAACAAAAAAAAATACGAGAATTTAATATATTTTTAGTATTTTTATGTATTTATTAATTTTTTAAAATATTTTTTCACAAATTTTTTACTTTTTAGATACATCTAAGTAAAATGCATCTAAAAAAGTTTTAAAAAAAATGCTTAAAATTTTAAAAATATTCACTAAAAACAAAAAATTTAATTTTCAAAAAATTTAATCCAAAAAACTCAAACCAAAGTACATAGGTTGCTGCTCTAAGCAAAGATATAAATTCTTTACCTTCTTGAAAAATCAAAAATATCCGAGATTCTGATTTGTAATTATAATTTAATATCAGCAAACTTTTATTGGAATAATACCTCCTTTTCACTCTAAATTCAAAAATGGCAATCCACCCCCGATATTGCGTGGATTAGTTGACTTAGTTTTGGCCTATCGACTACACTTTGGGCACAAATACATTCTATCTCCAATCTATCAGAAATTGTGCTCCTAAACTTAATCGTGAGATTTAAATATAAAAATGGGAAACCATTTATTAAATTAATTACAGATAGGCAAAACCATTCTAATTGGGGGCTATGGGTGGGCTCAAAACCAGCTAGACTTGTTCTTAAACAAAATAGATAATAATTAAAGTTCTTAATTAGCTAAATGATCATTGTATAATTAAAAAGCATTTGTTGTAGTTGTCATGTACCCAATGCAATGATCATTTTCAAGATCCAAATGGTGTCTATTTACATTTTTTTTTTTTTTCTGTTTTATATTTGATATCAACTAGACCTTAATTTATTATTCTTAGCATTACTTTCCCACCTTCTTACCATACTGTGTAGTCAAAGTTAAGAATTGATTGTTTAATAATGCATGTGAATCTCATGTGACATTGTGTCAAGGTTTTAATGCTGCTATGTTTTGTTGCTGCCTGTGGGAGCCAAATAAATGGATTTCCTTATCGGTAAACAGGCAAATCCAAGCCCATCACTGATGGGTCAAAATTAGCCAAGGCCTATTGGGCTTAAGCAATTCAGTGTTGAGTGGATCCAAATAGGTGGAGGCATGTGCCGAGTACGATATGCAGAGCTAATTAGCGTAGGGGCCGAGTAGTGGAGGATGGGCCCAAGCTGTCCCATTCCCGAGGTGTGGTAGGAGGATGAACCATGTCGCGACAATGATGTTAAACTACAAGGGAAAATATTTGAGGAAGCATGATTATAAAAAGAAGGTGATAGCAAGAAATATAACAACTCTTTCTTCTCATCGAAAGACTGACTTGTCTGTCGGAGTATTAATTTCAGTATCCCAAATCGGAATATTTTCTTATTTCAAGTATCGAAACAAGGATCTTTCAAGGGTTTATATGAAATGAAGGAGTATTGAAAAATCACCCCTCACACTATCTATTTGCCATTGGTTTGTTCGTTTTATCTGTATGAACCAAAACTCTATCTTGTATGGACAACTATTCAATGTATTCATTTTAATTTTAAAATCTTACCCTTATCCATGTTCATATATTATTGACCAAACAAAATTTTACTTCATAAAACTCTAATTAATCATACAGACATGTACATTATTTATATTTTTATGTAAATAATTATAGATATATAGACTAACTCAGATAATTTTAATAAAAAAATGGGATACGAAAGACACATTTTATAGATAATACAAGATGACCCATCTACAAACACATAGGCAAAGGCCTCTGTTTCATTTCCCTCAAGTTCATGCTCAGCTAGAGAACTGAACATTGCATTTCTCTAGTTTCATTGCAAGTATTATCTCTCTAAGTCTTTCACTCCCACTTTATTTATTTATTTTTCACATTACATTCACAAGTACAATTATATAGATTCAGTTCCTCTCCAGTCAACTAGAATGCAATTATAAGTAGAGCCTTGAGACCCACCACATTGTGGAGCTCACGCTCTCTCTAACAGCTGCAATCTAATTGACTAAAACATGTAAGTCATATCCAAAGCATATATAAATGTGCGCTACACACTTAAGTCACTACAGTTGTTGTCATTGTCGCCTCCACCATTCATTCCTTCAAACTTGATATACTTGTACCACTTTGCACACACAATGTAGACCACAAGATCAGCTGTTGTCAAGGCTGCCAAGAGAAAGTAGAACATGTCCAAGTGACCCCTATTCAAGTTTCCAGGTATCCAACCAGGCATTTTATCTTTGGTAGAGATTTTCATGACAATACTCACTAGCAAACTACTGACATAGTTCCCTAGTGAAATGGATGTCATGCAAAGTGCACTCCCAAAGCTCTTCAACCCATCTGGTGCCTGCCCGTTGAAGAATTCCAACTGACCCACATACATGAAAACCTCAGATGCCCCAATGAGTACGTATTGCGGAACTTGCCAGAAAATGCTTAGTGAACTCGAACCATCACAACTAGTGCAAGTTTTTTGTGCATATTTTAGCCTGAAATGTTCAACAGTGCCAGCAGCCAGCATAGCCACGATGGCAATGACAAGGCCAATCCCCATTCTTTGAAGCTCGGTGAGGCCTCTAGGGCTAGGTTTTCGTAGCCTGGCGATTAGAGGGTCGAGGACTCGCCTGTAGATGAAAATGAAGGCTGTGACGCTAAGGATGTCGAAGCTGGACATGCTTGCCGGAGGGATGTGGAAGCCCGATATGGTTGTTTTCATGGCCGCGCCTTGTTCAACGAAGAGGGAGGCCATTTGGGTGAAGACTACTGAGTAGAGGATTGTGCATAGCCAAATTGGGAGGAGTCTGAGAACGCATTTCACTTCTTCAATTTGTGTCACTGGGCAGAGCAGCCATGGATTTTGGCTTTCCTTGTCTTGTGGAGGGTACTCCTTTGATGTGATTATTGCAGCTCTATCTAGGAATCTGTGTATGATGAATATGAATTTTCAGTTAGTACATGTTCTTGTGAAGACTAAAAATAGTAGCATTCTTCTAATTGAATTTTATTTGCTAATTCTGGTGGGTGAAAAAATTTGAATTGTTAACGCAATGAGTAGGAAGTCTATAGGCCTAATGAACTTAACTCTTCTTGAGTAGAGACTCACCTAATAGGTGGGTATTTAATCATTTTTCACTATGTACTTTAGTCTCCAAAATCAAATTCTTTTTCCAATGACGAACATAGTCATATCCATAGAGTCATAATGAGGATATGTGCTTTGGATCGTAAAAATCAAGTTACTACTCCAATGGGCTTCCGATTTATAATCACTAGTCTATGGGAGACAATTGCTTGTTGTTAAAATTGAAAAATGTTAAGATTCAGTGATATATGAGCTTCAAAAATAAGACTATGATTGTGGGTAAAAGTAAGTTTTTAAAATAATCGGGTTTGGAGCAATGTGCTTACCAAAAACTGTCCCTTTTTTCTATAATTTCAAAATGCAGATTATATTCACGAGTTTGGCATTATAAAGAAATCAATAATCTACATTATGTGTTGAATGATGAACTTACTTAAATCCATTGGTATGGAGTATTTTTCTGCCCCCACTGTTTGAACATTCCTTTCCATCCACTTCATACAGATCCTCTCCACTTGGCGGCATCTCAGCCTTCCATTTTCTAGCTGCTGCAACAACCACTTGACAGAGTCTTGATAGAGGATTGCCTCTAGGTATGAAATGCCTATACCAAGGGGTCCCTACAAGGAACAAGATCAATGCCAAAGTGGCTGAACCAGCAGATGCCCAAAAACCCACTGCCCACAATCCTTCATCCTCAAAGTAGCTCAGAAATGTGTTTGAAAAAAGGGACCCAAGGTTCAAGGCCAAGTAGAAGTAGCTAAAGAAGGACACCTTGGAATGCCCTTCTTTAGGGTCCTCCTCATCAAATTGATCAGCCCCAAATGTCGCAATGTTTGGTTGATACCCTCCATTCCCGAGGGCAATTAGGTAAATTGACAGGTAGAACAATGTGACCTGGACTGTCGAGTGGGACCCACATGGAGTTTGCTTATCACCACAGCCAAGAGGCCTAACCAAGAAAATGTATGATGATAGTGATAGTGATACCAATCCCTGTCATCAAAACACATTCATGTAAATACAAAAAAACAAAAAACAAAAAAACACACACTCACTCAAATTTAGAGTAATGGGAAAAGAATTTGAACTCAAAGCTTTATTTTAAAAATACGTTTACTCTAAACAATGCCCACATTCTGCCAAAATGAATGTAATACTGTCATAATTATGACTATTATTACAGACCACATTTCATATTTTATGGAATCATCAAATGCAAATGAAAAATATATGATTATTTGATTACTTACAATGACAAAGATGGCTTGAAAGATGGCACAAGTTTTGTATCTCCCCCAATAAGAGTCACTAAGGAAAGCACCAAGGAGGGAGAAGATGTAGACAGTGCCAGTCCATTTGCTAACATTGTTTGCAGCTTCAGCATTGTCTTGGCCCATCACTCTTGTTAGAAACAACACCAAGTTCACCCCTATCCCAAAAAATGCCAATGTTGCAAGCCCTTGGTTCACTGTTTCAATTTTCAATCAATCAAAACAAATTATTATTATTATTCAGTGTGTTTGGTTTCATCTTTTTCATTTCATTTTTTTGGAAATTGAGTTTTTTTTGTTTTTTATTTTTTTTTCTTTTGTTTTTAGTGAATATTTTTAAAATTTTAAGCAATTTTTTACTTTTGTAGATATATCTTACTTAGATGTATCTAAATAGTTAAATATTTTTAAAAATGATTAAATACACAAAAATATAAAGAATGTACTGAATTTTCAAATATATATATATATATATTTGTATTTTTGATATTAAGTGAATTTTTTTTAAAACAATTTCACAAATATTATACTTTTTAAGTGTATTTATGTTAAGTGTATCTAAAAATTAAAAAATTGCTGAAAATATTTAAAAAAATTCAATGAAAACAAAAAAAATATGAAAACAAAAAAGTAAAATTTTTTAAAAAATAAATTTTGAAAACTAAAACCAAACAAAGTGATTATTATTATAAAACAGAGTAGACTCCAAAACCTTAGGAGATAGGGAAATTCACACTCACATCGCCTTAGGCTTGAAAAAAAACAGATAACTTCATATTTTTTTACATAATTACATTGACTTCCCTCAATATTTTTATTCATATAACACTTCAACCTTTTTTCATTAATAATCTTTTAGTCATATGAATAAAAAAAAAATGATGTTATCATCTCTTTTCTACTAAAATGTATATTTATTTTTGTTTATTTCAGTGTCTACCAACTATTGCCGTTAATTAGTTTCAATTGTATTTACCATATTAAAATGAAAGTTATTACAATTATGTCAAAAAGTACAAAACAAATTGTATTTTCTCAAAACCACCCAGGTGATGAGTGTAATTTATCCTACAATATATGTGAGACATTGAGGTTAGAATTGCTGATTCTATAGTCAGACATTAAGCAGCTTTTTTATTTATTTTTTATTTTTTCTCTCTATATTTTATTTTATATCTTTGGTGATTTTTTTTTTTTTTTTTTTTTTAGATTTTTTTTAAAAAATTTTTTTGTTAAAAAATGCAAAAACCATGCAGGGTGAATAGAACACTCTGAACTATATTGAATCAATCATGTGAGAGTCGAAGGGCCTTTCTGTTGGAATTTTGGTTTTCATATTTTTGGAAGCAAAAATATAATAATCATTTTTGAGCGAAAACAATTTTCAAAAATTTAAGAACAACCTTGTGCGTATCCTAAAAAGTAGATTTTCTTTTTCTCTTGGTGTAAAGAAATACAAAAAATAGTTTGTTGAACAAATTTTCTCAAATTTTTTTGGAACCAAGAAACGAAAACACAACCACATAAAAGTATATTTAACATACATTTAATAAATTTAAGAATTATTAAAAATGAATTGAGTAATGTATAAGGTTTTGAACAGTAGTTGCGGCGGCACGGTTGCGGTTGCGGGATACAAAAGCCGTAACATAACAATTGTGGTAACCGAAATTGTGATTTTTTTTTATTTTTTGTATAATTTGAAGAAAACTTACAGATATGCATATATATATATATATATTTTCTAGAATCACATTTATTAAGGTTTAAAATTAATTTTTATTAATTTTTAAATATGATCCAATATATTTCATATTTTCAAATCACTATAAAAGGAGTTTTTTACATTTTATTTCAATAGTTAATGACTTTAAGAATAATTGATTTTAAATGTCTACAAATAATTTTTGACCAATACCTGAACTAATTGAATAAAAAATATTCACAATTATTAAATAAAATGATTATAAAAATAAAAATTATGTCATAAACAAAAATTATTTTTGAGGCATTTTTTTAGACAACACTTTACAGGTAACTAAATAAAATTATTTACAATTAAATATTAAATGAAATTATTATAAAACTAAAAATTTTGACATAAACGAAAAAAATATTTTTGATTTTTTTAAAGACATTATTCACAACACATTACAGTAACAAAATAAAAAATATTTATAATTAAATATTAATTAAAATGATTATAAAAAAAATACAACCACTGTTTATATATTTTTTATTTTACATGTTAATGTAATGAAATAAAAATTAAAAAAATTATAAAGAAAATAAATTCATATAAGAATTTTTTCTTTGAGTTTGGGTCACTTGAGCATTTTTTCCTTTTTCTTTTTTAAGTTTTTATTTATTTTTCTTTTGGGAAATGAAATTATTCAGAATATTATAAAAGAGTGTAACAATATGTACCGGACTATCACGGTTGTTACAGTATCGCTACAGCCGTTACGTAATACCAAAATGACTGTTACTCATGTGAATTTTCGTCATACTATTATAGTGACCGTAACTAATGGCGATAACCACCGCAACCATTATAAAACACCTTACGTAACGGTTGTGGCCGCTTTTTAAAATTTCGGTAATATATATAATGTGTAAGGTTTGAAAGAGAGTTACCAAGTATGAGAATTCCAGCAAACCATGTTCCCGATCTTGCTCGGACAGCAGGGCGACCGTGTCGATCAACAGTTCCATCAAGGGTGCAAACCACTTCTTCCTCTATCCTCTCTTTCTTCTGCTCATCCTGCAAAATGCAAATTATTCATAATTCCTTTGCTAAATGTAATTCATATCTCAAGCAAACATATGTGTGAAATTCTCCCAAATGAAGTTTCAAATTCAAGCAAAGACTTCCAAAAATTTTAAGAAAATAAAATATTAATGCTGTATAATTCGAATTTTCATCCCATTTTCATACTGCTAAACACATGTGAGTGGATGAAGCAAATATGTTTGGTTCTATTTTTTTAAAAACTGTTTTCAGAAAATTCTATTTTCTTATTTTTCGTGTTTTTTTTGTTTTTACTGAATTTTTTTATATTTTATGCAAATTTTTTACTTTTTAGACACACCTAACATAAATACACCTAAAAAATAAAAAAATTTTAAAAAAAATCTTTTAAAAATTCACTAAATATCAAAAATACAAGAAAAAAAATACAAGAATTCAATATATTTTTTGTATTTTTATGTATTTCTTAATTTTTTAAAATATTTTTTCACTTATTTTTCGTATTTTTTTGTTTTTACTGAATTTTTTTATATTTTATGCAATTTTTTTACTTTTTAGACACACCTAACATAAATACACCTAAAAAATAAAAAAAATTGTAAAAAAAATCTTTTAAAAATTCACTAAATATCAAAAATACAAAAAAAAAATACAAGAATTCAGTATATTTTTTGTATTTTTATGTATTTCTTAATTTTTTAAAATATTTTTTCATATTTTTTTTTTACTTTTTAGATACATCTAAGTAAGGTACATCTAAAAAAATAAAAAAAAATGTTTAAAATTTTAAAAATATTCACTAAAAACAAAAAAACAAGAAAACCAAAAAACTCAATTTTCAAAAAACTTAATCCAGAAAATTCAAACCAAAAACACTGATTATTACTCAATGGAAAAATCATGGTGTTGAGGATGGTAATCGTAGAAGGATTGATCTTTGATCTTTGCTTCAGTTAGGAGAGAAGATTGGACCGTGTTGTTGAGCTCTTGTGAGTCTATTACATGTCCATTTTAATGATTTAATCTTTTTATTTTTTAGGTCCCTAGATCATTTATAGAAAAAAAAAATTTAATTGATTGATTTGATAATCGTAATCATACGATCTCATCATACTTGTCTTTAAAAAATATATGGCGAATATGATTGTAAAAATAGGCTATTAAATTTTTTAAAATAAATATAATCAAATTATTTGATTATGATTATCAAATCAATTTATTTATTTATTTTTTTTTTTAATGAATGATCTACGGATAGAGATGAAAAAATAAAAGGTCCGGTTCATTGAAAAGGACCCTATAGGCTAATAAGAACCGAACAGTACAGTACAATCTTCTCATCACCCTATTGGAAAAAAGCCAGACCCATCATGATACGAGACCTAAAAATTGATTGTACGTTCAAATCTCAACCTAATAACTATGATTCATGCATATGATTAATATCATAACGAAGAAAGTCTAGCCACACTAAAGGGACGTCATTAGAAGATAAATTATAAAGTTACACCTTCTTAGGCTTAACCATACACGACTTATGATAGTTATAGGCCTATGAACTATTATTAAGTCTTCATTTGGAATGTAAATTGACTTTTTGACTATTTTAGTATGAGGCTAAAAGTCTCGTTTGGAATAGATTTTTTAATTTTTTTGACTTTTGTAAGAAAAAAAATAAAATGATTATGGTATTGATGTCACATTTTGTATTATTAGGCTAAAAAGTCTATTTTATCTTTTTGTGGCTAAAATAGTCCCAACCCCATCCAAACCTTCATGTCAAACATCAAAATAATTAAAATTTTAATATGCTTTTCGCATATTTTAAACATTTCTATATATATATTTTACATATTTTTATATATTTTTTATAATAATATTTACATGCGTATTACTGGCTCATAAAAAAAATTTGACTGCACACAAGTAGTGAAGAGATAAATAATAAATGGAAACTAACTTAATCTCAACATGTTGATTGAAAATTGAAGCATAAAATTCAAGATGTTGAGTTTGAATTATCTTAAGGGTCCATTGGAAGTTTGCTTAGTCGATTATTTCAAAACTCTACAATTAATCGAGATGCACATAAATTTTGGTTAGTCGATTATTTCAAAACTCTACAATTAATCGAGATGCACATAAATTGATAGTCTAAATACCCGATTAAGACAAAAAAAAAAAAAAAGAAAACTAAAACCAACTTAATTGATTAAAATTTTGCACTTCATCAGAAAGTTAAGGATTTGTGATTTTGTGATCAAGAGTATGGCGTATTTAAATTAAATAAATAAAATTGAGGTTAGGGTACATAATACCTAATTAAAATTTGAGTGCAAGTGTGAAAAAGGTAAAAGAAAAAGAGAGGAGGGAATCAAACTCATAAATCAGTCACTTTTATGTCATTCTCGAGCTCATTTATTTTGGACTTAAGACAGTTTAATTAGAACCACCCACTTGTTAAAACGTTCCTTGATTTGCCATGTGATTGTGCAATATTCAATTTGACATTCATAGAACCCAATCAATTCTTCGAGTTAACAACTTTTACTAACCATGTCACTTTATATACCACACAATATATATCACAATTTTAAATAACAATATCAGATATACATATATATATATATAATACTATAACAATATTAAGATTATAAAGTGATCCGAATTAAGAACCAAATGTCACGGTCATAAATTTTTTAAAATCATCAACTAATACCAAAAAGAATTTTATAGTAATTGAACTAGCCTTATTAACTATAAATCAACTCGTAAATTGTTTATGAACTCATTCAACCACCTAAACCATGACCTAAAATGAAACTAAAAATTAGATTTCCTTCGCCAACTCTTGGAAACATGAACTTGCAGCAGACCAGAAGGCGATATAATTCAACCATTTTGATAAATCAAAATGAGTATAAAACCATCTAGTATAATGATCGATAGCTGTTAATGACTATAGTTAATTGTCTTTGGCTCCAAAATATTCATTGTGCATGGTGTTCACTTGGAGTTGGATCCATTCACTTGGATCCATGCATCACTGTATGCATGTTATTCTAGTTTACTAACAAACTAATGAACTGAAACTTTATACCATCACATTCATGTTATTTAAATCGAGTAAGGGACATAAAAACAATTATCAAAACAAAATAAGTGATCTGAATATAATTGTATCAAGGATTTCAAAAAGAAACATGACCATATTGGTCTCTATGGATGAAAAGAAGAGTGAATCAATCTACTAACCGGTTTAGCCATATTTAAAGAAGCCATTGGTGCTCAATTTCAAAATGCAGAGAGAGAGAGAGATGAGGAGGAGGAGGAGGGAGAGATATTTTTTGAGGTACAGAATTGAGAAAAGAGAGGTGGAGAAGGAAAGATATATATAGAGTGTGAGATAGTTAGATGACACAAGCAAGGTGGGAAAGACTTGCTATTAGTCGAAAATCAAAAGGAAAATGACTTACTATTAGATTTTTATATATAAAATTTATACATAATAATATTTCAATGTCATTTTTACAATTTTGAATCACAAGAGAAAATGATTTACTATTACATTTTGAAAAATGATGTAAAAGTCCATCTTCTAGACTAATTTTTATGATTCAGTGATTAGTAAAAGAAATAATTGAATGATGATTAGAGAAAATACTATAAAAAGAGTTGCCTTACAAGTTCGAATAGACTATCATGTCACTGAATTTGAAAAATAAGTATAATTTTTGAGTTACTACCTTTAAATTTTTTATACAAAAAAGTTATACAGTGTCATTTTTACAATGCTAAATTACAATTATAAGTATTTTAACTTGAAACAAAAAGATGATAGAAAGTTATTTTTCATATAATAGTTTTGTTTATATATAAATTAAAAAGGAGAAAGAAAAGACAAAAGAAATGTGTTGGAAGCAACATGAGATTGGGAAGGAGCAAAGGAAGCGTGACATGGTTGGATACATAAGTTTTTGTTTTTAATGATGACTAAAAAAATGAATGTCTCTGTCACATAAGAGAGAGATTGGCTGTGATTAAGCTGTACTGATTTTGACATGTTTGAAACATGCACTTTACATGGGGGTCTTTGCTTCTTAATCATCTTTTCTATATCATCCTTATTGATGCGTGGTTGGCTTCTAACAATGAACTAACACTAACACTATAAATTCAAAATTTTATTTAAAAATTTAATCTATGTATAATCTCCACAAAATAGCATTTAAATCTTAACTCTTAATTCACATTCTTATTTTCATGTTATATTTTTTGATTATTTAGGATTTGTTTGAGATTTAGCTTTTTTAATAATTAATAATTTTTTAACTTTTCTAAAAAGACATACAAAAAATAGAATAAATGAATTGATTTTTTGTATTAATTTTTTAACTTTTTAACTATTTTAATCAATTACCAAAGATGGCCTTAGACTTTTCCATTAAGAAATCATTTCTTTGTCATCATATATTTTTTGGAACAATTGTAGAAAAATAGCATCAACTGAAAATAAGTAAAAAGTGATGGAAGTATTTATAATTGCACAATCTAATGCTTAAATTATTTGTACTTCTATTATTGTAATTATTTTGGGTTGATACCAAATTTTTTTGATAATTGTCCTTATTATTTTTTATCAACAAAAAAAAAAATAATAGTTAAATAATAATAATAAGAAGAAGAAAACATTACAAAATGGGGGCTCTCTCATCATATATTATGAGTGTTGTTATTAGCACCCTGATTAATACTTTGGATCCCTACCTACAAAATTCAAAACTTTAAAACTTTTTAAGAACCCTCCAAATAATACCAAAAGTATCATTCTAAAAATATCACACCCACCAAAATGCACACCCCTGAAAAATCCTTCATCTTCAAAAATTCTTAACTGTTGAACTCTAAATCCTTAACTGTTGAACTCAAGCTTTTCCTTTTTTTCAACTGTTGAACTCTCTTACCTTTAAACTCAAGCTTCATCTCACCGTCAACAGAGCTCCACTGTCGATCTCTGTCACAGTTGACCTCTCTGCCATCGATCTCCCTCACAGTCAATCTCATCACCAACCTCTCTTCGCCATCGATCTCTCTGCCGCCATGTTAGAGCCTGTATTGTTGAACAAATTACCCATGTTCAAGTCTGTGTTACCAAACAATTTGTACGTGTTCGGATCTGTATTACTAAACATTATAATGTAACGTTCTATGTTCGTGAGCAAGTTTGACCCATCAAAGTTTAATAGACAAAACTAAAATTTATCGCATAATTAAAACATAAGTATGCATTAAGATTACATCTAAAGTGCTGAACATATGAATAAAAATTTTAGATTTAAAGTGCCGAACATATGAAAATGTTCGGTTAGATGTTGTCGAACTAATGCCTTTAATATGGCTATGTGTTGCCATTTTTTTGACATATGTTCGGAAATTCAGTATCAGAAAAAAAGTTGAACCGTTTTATCAACTTTTGTTCTCATGTTTTTTAGAAAACTCAACACTACAAGATCAACCTCCTCTGAGCTGTGAACCCCATCTAAGCTGTGAACCTCCTCTAAATTTACATTGTGATGTTTCATTTGTCTCATGGTATTGGGTTATCGGAAAAAAATTTCACTCATCGCCATTGTTGGAGAAGTATGTACTGTCAAATAGTTTCCGCCAAAAGCCATTGAAGGGTTTTGAAGTGTGTGGGTGATGATAAAGGTGCGTGCTCTCATAAACCTTATATTATGATTTAGTGAATGGGTGGGTTTAATTATGAGATAAAATGCACAAAAATAATTCATGTTATATTTTATAATTTTATTTGAGATTATTATTATAATAAAAAAATAAAAGATCCAAAATATTAATTGGATTGCTAATAGCAGCCACCTATATTATACACACATGTATTTCCTGCTCTTTATTGGGGCAACTTTTGTGGGTAATTTTGAATTTTGATCATGGATACCATAATATATATATAGTACTAGTGCAAGTTTTCGTGGCCTAAATAAAGGTTGGTGGAGTGGTCATAACGCAATTTTTATTTCCATTAATTAAAAATGGAAAGTGTTTAACGGAAGAAAAATTTCTCACTATCGCAAAGTATTATTGTGACACGTGTACGTGATGTTTTTGACTAATAAAATTGTACAAAAAGTGATGAATAAAGTCGATCTCTCCTCTCAAGTAACCCATGAAGACAGATGTGATCAACTCCACTTATCTTCTAACTTACATTTATTTATTTAAAAATATTAAAACATATTAAATTAATATTTTAAAATTACTGAATAATTACTCGCGTAAATATCATTCATTCAAAAAGAACAATATATAGATTACAGATCATGAGCCAGCGACCCCCAACAAACAAATTTTTCTTTTTTTTTCCCCTAATTTTTTTGAAAACTTGTGGAAGTGAAGGTATGAATGGAAACAATGACAAAACAACTTCGTTTTTTTCTCCTAATAATTTTTTGATAACTCATGGAAGTGGAAGTTTGAATGAAAAAATGACCAAATGAGTAAATAATACCTACTACAAGAATTATAGTATGTAGCGAAATCACTAATTAATGAAAGTTATTACATTAAAATAGTGGAGGCTACATTAGTAGGGGTGAGAATCGCTGTGTCGTGTTGTTTTCGTATCGTGTTATATTGAGTTTGTATTTAAAATAATCCAACACTAACCTGACTCATTTAATTAAATGTGTCAATTATCTTGATATTGGTCTGACCTACTTATAATCGTATTAATCCTGACACCACGCGCTTAATACGATTAGCATAAAAAGTACATATTATTTTTATATTAAATTTTATTTTTTGAGGTGAATAATTTTTTATTTATATTTTTTTATCAAACTAATTTATAGTTTGTAAAAAAAATTCAAGAACAAATTTTAAAAACTAAATCAAACAGAATGAATAATGACTATAACACAAAAAATATTAATAAATTAAATAAATCAAACAAAGTGAATAAAAATTATAACACAAAAAATATTAAAAATGTGAATCAGGTTGATTTACCATTACACGTTGTTACTTGTATGCCGAGAAGAATTATAAAATAAAATAAAAATTTCTAAGACTTTTACTTGATTTAGGCCAAGTTTGGCATGTCCAGGAAAAGTCAAAAAGTCAAAAAGTTACTCAAAAAGTTAAAAAGTTAACACTATTCACCAAAAGTCAATAATTACGACTACACAACTCTCAATCCTAATTTTCTCCTACAAACCAATTTTTACAATTTTTTATTACACATTTTTCCATAAAAAGTCAAAAAGTTAACCCAAACATCTATATTTTCTTCTTCAATTTTTTAGTCTAAAAAGACAAAAAGTACACTTATTTAGGACACCTCAAACAACCCCTTAGTTTTGGTGAAACAAACACTTTATCAAATCACAGTCGACAACTAATTTATCATTAATTTATAATTGTACTTCATTAGATATATATTATATAAAGATTTAAGTTTTAATCTAATGGATGAGAATGAATTAGTCAAGAACTTATTGTTACTTAATTCAGGTTGTATTCGAGGTTACATGCGAGTCAATAGTGAGTTTGTGTCAATGTATCGATGTGAATTTTTACGCGGGTCAAACATGTCCATTTCGAATTTTATTTGTTCAATCTAAACACGATCTATTTAATATTCGTGTTTTCAAATCGTGTCATATTCAGATTCGGGCCAAAAAATTATTAATCCTAACCCTAATTATGTGTACGATTTGAGTCTTTTTAACGGGTTACCTGCCAAATTCTTTCCCTGTATATCAGTAGGAATTAATGTCGGCAGAAGAATGGACTTTTCCACTTAATTTTATAGGTAGGTGTCGCTTGTAACTTGAATAATTTAATTTTTATACTTCAATTTTGTTGTAAAGTGATTTCTCTATCATACATTGTTAAAAAAAAAAAAATTTAAAAATAAAACATGTAGAATTAGAGGGACTAAAATAGAATTCAAAACAAATTATAAAAACCATCGATATAATCAATATATTATACTGGTAGTTCTTGTAGTTTATTTTAAATTTCATTTCGATCGCTCTTTTTACATAATCTTTTTCCTTGCCAAATTCAAATGTTAAGTAACGGAAAGATTACATTGCAACAAAATTAAAAGTATAAAGACTAAATTATTCAAAATAAAACTATAAAAACTAAAGTGATATTTCATTTAAACTATAATGACTAAATATTAATTTACCCTAATTTTATTTCAGATTTTATATTTAACTACTGACACTATTTTATAACACAGAATAATATAATGTTATTGTTGCATTTAGTGGGCACAATTTGAAGCCAGCGATGTGCTCTTTTTAGATTTTATGTTCAA